TACCGTACTAAACTAACGTAGGTACTTACTAACTACTCTACTACTATTCCGTACTACTACACTACTAGTAAGAAGTAAAGTACTCTCTCTCTCTCTCTCTCTCTCTCTCTCTCTCTCTCTCTCTCTCTCTCTCTCTCTCTCTCTCATACTCTCTCTTCTCTATAATACTCCAATCATTGATCAGTCAAATTGTCACTCACTAAACCCCAAAAATCCTAATCACGAACAATGGTCTGTGTTCAAGACAAAAATCCTAGATTTTAAAGAATTACAGTCTTTGCAGTTTACTCTTGATATGGTAAATTCTTCTAAGGAACTTCATCTCCTCTCTTCAAATTGGGGTTTCTACATTTTCCACTTGTCTCTCATGAGAGTGGGCATCTCCTCTCTCTAAATTGGGCATTTTCATGGTTATTCACCCTCTTCTCATCAGACGAGCCCCATCTCCTCTCACTAACTTGGGATTTTCTGGGTTTTCTTCAAGTTTCTCCTCAATGCGAGCCTGGTCTTCTCGCTCTAAATTGCAGTTGTCCCTGTTTCCTCCTACTTATCTGCAAGATGAACTTCAAACTCTCTAAATGAAGTTTTGTTTCTAGGCTTCTAGCCTGCTTCCATCACTATAAGCTTCATTTCGGCTCTTCTTTACTGGGTGTTTTTGTATCCTCCTCACCAGGAATATCTGTGTATCCCTACCAATCTCTTCATTCGGTTTTGGGTTTCTGTCCTCACACTATTTTAGCTTCCTATACTATATATAATCCTCTTTGGTTGATCTATCTCATGAACTTCACCCCACTTCCGCTTCTTCTCCTCTCTTGTCTCTCTTCATCAACCCCATGTTTTGCTGCCTCTACTTCTTTCTGTCTTCTTCAACCTTTTGAGTCCAGTGGTGATCAGAAAGAAGGGAGAAAGAGAAAGAGAGAGCATTGGGCTGGGCAGGTAAGAGAGGCCCAGATTAGGTCCGCAGGGGACTCCGTGAAAAGGTGGAACTGTTGTCATCTGAAATTTTCAAGTCTGACAAATTTGCTCAGATGTCTTTTGCCTTGGTAGCAAAGTTTTTTAACTTTTAATCTAGAAATCTTGAGCTTATCCAAACAGCTCAACATCCATATCTCAGTTCTTTTATTTTTCTGAAGTTTATTTGCTTTTTCCATCCTCACTGCATCTACAGGAACATGCTTGGCAGACTACGTATCTTCTTTTTTAGCTCCAATAAAACATATAGCCTGATTTTGGCTCCAGATACACAAGGTGAATTCTTGGTGAAGCCCATCTATCGAATCATAACCTGCCTACCAAGGAAACAACGATGACTGTAAAGTATGGTCCATTCAAAGACCACTGAAACTTCAAGCTTTTGTGTGGGAAGCAGCATTAGACAAGTGTTCTGTTGACCACCTGACTAGCAGAGGTATGCCCATCCCCAACATACATTCAATGTGCAAAAATGATCCAGAAACAGTCAATTGTATGGTCTGGCACGGTCTTTATTTGTTTTGTATTAAATCTGTTTAATCCAATATGGCCAGAGCCTCCTTCCACAGGTTCACTATTTGTTCAATGTTTCATCCCACCACTGTCAAAGGTTGGCCTCATCCAGCATCTCAGGGCCACAATCACATCTTGGGCCACATCATGGAAAGATTTTTGGGGATGCTTGGTTGTGAAAACAAGAACAACGAGAGATACCAGGCCTACAAGCGCCACCCATCCCTTGAGAGGTTAGTGAAATTGAACTTTGCTGGAGCTCAAGAGGGAACCCTGGACCTGCAGATAGGTGTTGGGGAAATTTTGAAGGACCAATGTGGGCCAATGATGATGACCTACTAAAGCCCTTTATACACATGAGAGTTCAATGAGGTATGGCCTTTGCTGACCAGACTTCGAGTTTAGACCCAAAATGGAAATCGTTGATCATAGAGGATTATTCCAGTCATGTAACAAATTGGGCTAATTGGGACAATAACTGTCCTTTGTGACTGCATAATGTTTTTGGAGAGATATGGCATGCCCTAGCAGGTTGCATACAACCCTACAAAACTCATGAGGAGAGTCCAACAAAAAGCTGGATGTCCTTGCAAGGGAAGGGATCTCAAAAACAATTTCAGTAGTTCCTTTGTTTAAAACGTAGTCGGTCCATTCTTGGAGTCTGCTGTTCATAGATTCTACTTTGTAGATGAAAACTTACTTGTACCTTCAATACCTTATGCTAACAAAAAACAGTTAACAATCAATAAAAGGAAGGTTTACTGCCACAGAAATAAGGAAATAAGTATTGTTTTAAAATATTTGTAGTTACTTATTTCTGTAGCAAAGTAAAAGGAAATAGCTGTAATACTTCAACAAACAATGAGCATGAATATTGTTGTAGAAGATAATGCTAGACCTTGACAAGCCAGCGCACATGGGAAACCACAAATACTAACGGAAAGAACATTTGTTAAAGACATCACTGCAATTTTTGTTGTTCTGAAAGCAATACGAGGCATTGCAAGGTTACAAACCTTGAGTAGCTCACAATATGTAACTTCAGACTTCCCAATGGACCTAATCTCCATCAATTGTAAACAGTAACCGGCAAGGACTGGATTTTGCATCTTCACACATCCATTTAAGAAAATATTGTAAATGGGTAAAGAAGGCTTCATCCGACCATTATCTCCAAGAAATGTCAACCAATTGCAAGCCTGAAGTAAGAACACCGTAATAACCAAATTTATATCAGGTCAAAAATCCATAGGAATTGAACAAGGGGGGAAAACACACAGAGATAATAATAGAAGCCAACTTTTATTTTCTCCTTTCAATCATATAAGCACAGTTCGTAAATAATATTTATCCATCACAAAACTATTCACTGATCGGCCAAAACCAACAGGATTGGCTTTGCTGGAGCTCAGATGAAACTAACTTCGTAGAAAGAAGTATTTATAGAAATTATAAGGAACCACATGAAGAAAAAGGAAGGAACTATGCTAAAAATGGTTCTGTAATATATTTTGCTGTCTACATCACCTAAGTTCATTTGAGAGTAACTAGCAAGCTAAAAATCGTTTTACTAGAACCCATTCAAGATAACTAATGAACTTTTAGAAATATAATCAAAGTCAGGACACCAATACTTCCACATTTTATTCAACTTAAGTTTCAAGAGAACCAAAATCAAAACCATAGTAGAGACATGTGTGAAACCACTACCTATAAACGGTGAAAGTAGACTAATCAACACTTAAGCAGAATATAACAGGAAAAAATATGTACTCTTTTTTTTAAAAAAAAAAATTGTTAGACTGTCGTGTAGATAAAAATATGTAAACCTTATCCCTTGTAAATGAGCTCAGAAGGTGCAGTTGAATCAAAATCATTCCATTGAAATGCCTGGAAGATTAGTCTGGACTCTGGAGTGATGTGTTTAATGGTATTATAGAACAATGGGTTAAGGTTATTGAAATATTCATTTATGATTCTTTGCGTAGAGTTAAATAAAGTGCTTGCAGTCATTCAGGTGCAGAAGTAAACCATGAAGGCATTTAACTTTCCAGATTAGCATGCCTTGTATATTCACAAGGGTAACCTCCTTTTCCAAATTTCTTTTTCAATGAATGTCCATATTTTATAGTAAACGAATGTTATCACGACCTATTGTTGTACCAAAAGAAATCGACATGATAACAACTTAACTACATGTTCGTTTTATTATTATTTTTTTCTTGATAAAGCTAACTTTTGGCATTGATAATAGTAAAAGATTACATCTCGCATATAGCTGTAACTGTGCAACACAGGAAGGCCAAGATCTCACAAGTAAAAAAAATCAGTACAGTCATATATGTGCACCACTGAGAACCCCATAAAAATCAAGCAAAAAAACTCCCTGTGTACAAGAAAAGAATAAAAAATGACAGACATCCTTGTTAGGACTGGCTTCTATGGATCACCAGAGTAGTGCCAGAAATCCCTTCATTTTCAAGGGTGCTGTCGACCGAATTTGTCTCACAAAGCATGCTTGTGTTTGAATTGTAAGTTGCATGCCTGCTTCAAATACCAGGGCCAAGGAGCCTGACTAGAAGCCCGTCAGATTGGGCTGAGTCCCCTTCCACCTCAAGGAAGGGGCTGCAATTGCTTTTAAATAGTTTGAGACCCTCAAACAAGACCATTGCCTCAGCTTTTTTGGAATTTACGCATTCCATAAGGCTGGAGAACATCAATAAGCAATCAGCCAAATGATTCCTAAAAATACCACTAACGCCAGAGGGACCTGGTTGCCCAAAGAGCAACCATCAAAGTTCAATTTTGTGACCCATAGGGGCAGTGGCTTCAACCGGTTGGATATGGTCGACAGTCTAGCCCCTCAGTTGTTCCCCATTCTTGTGAGACACCCAATGTGGGCCAGCAAATGAATTGCCTTCGATTTTGGGCTCAAAGAATGACTATAGCTTGATTTTCTCCAACAAAGCTTCTAACCGACACAGTCTTCTAGCTCTCAAAAATACTGGAGTTACACTCCAGCCATAGAGACCATATGGAGGCCATGATGGTGGCTCGCCACAGCAAAATTCAGGCAGATGGGGAAGGGGGAGAAAACTATGCAAGATTCCTATGAATCCTTGGAGCCCCCCAAGTAACCCCCAGCACATCATAAGACCAGAAACAGACTTGCTAAAGCAATGTCCCCCACCCATTAAACATGCCACAATGTTATTTGATTGCTAGATTTCTGCATGAAACAAATCCAATTCATAAAATCTCCATAGGCTGAGGAAGTGCCCCTTTAGTAGCCACCCCAAATCATTCAAGCCATAATTATACTGAATCACCTGCTGCCATAGACCATTTGGGTTGGCAAATACCATCACCATTTGCCAACCAAGGCCATATTGCACTCAGTTTTCTAATGCCTAGACCACCTTCCCTCTTGGGTTTGCAGACCAAGTCCCATTTTGCCAATTCAAATTTCTTCAACCCTTCGAACCAGACCAAAGAAATTCCCCATTCAACCTCTCCAGATTCTTAAGGATAGACATAAACTTCGTAATAGAGATGTGGAAGATGAGATATTGGAGAGGGTGGTTTTTATATAAATGTGATCCTTCCACCTAGCGAAAAAGAATTGGGCTTTCCAAGATGCCAACTTTATCTCAAAGTTTTATGCCAGCCCATCCCATTGAGCCTTTGTGGGTTTACCAAAGCATAAAGGAAGTGTGAGATACTTGTTTGCATTGCTCAGAAAGTTGGCGGCCTAGCCACCAAAATGCCTAGGCATGCCCTAGGCGGGGGCTTACTCCTATGCAGCGCCTTGGTGCAACTTGGCTGAGGCAGAAAAGAAACCCCTATGCGCTAAGTGCCACAAAACAACAAAAATAAAAAAAAAGGGTGGGGGGAAGGAGGGGGGGGCATCGCCCTTTAAGAAACAAAAAGACAAAAAGTTAAGACCTATAAGAATGGCTAAGGGATCAAGGCCCTTTCTCTCGCTCACAGGCCCATGTGCTCTCTCTCTCCAATCAGAAGAAGATGAAAAAGAAAGTACTTTCCATTGTTCGATGCAAGGCCTCTCTCTCACGCATGCACACACACATGGACCCACATGCTCTCGTATCACTCTGCATATAAAACGAAGAAAAAGAAGAAGATAACCTCCAAGTGTCAGATGTGAGCCCCCCCTCTCATGAACATATCTAATATCTCTCTACATATAAAAAGATGAAAAAGAGGTATATGTCCTCCAAGTGTCTCACA